ACTTGGTGTCTTGTCTTTCCTGGATTATGTAAAACAGCAACCCTGTCATTATCAAATCATATGCTACTTTTCTTTTCTAACGAGCTAGAGCTCAGAGCTACCACCTAAAGGTAACATTACGGAAAACAGAAAGCAAGGTGCAGCACCTCGTTCTTAGCCATGTGTCGGATGGATCTAGTCTGCTATGAGTATTTGCTCCAACCTTTATTTTTCTTGGTGTTGCTTGTAGTTCAGGAGCACTAAAGAGAAAGTGTTGTACTGTAGCTAATGCGAAATAGGAAACCTGATTTTATTTGACATTGCCCAATTCATCAGCAAAGGACAAAAATGGTGCTGCCAGAAACACATTATATATTCAAATAACATGGGTTATTTGTGACAGGCACGTAACATTTAGTTTCTGATCATTAGCTTTGCTAATCATTAGCTTGGTTAATGAAAAATAAAATATTTACAATACTGAATGAGCAACTGAAAAATGAGCAAGCAGCTAATCAAATTTACACGCGCTCCTGAATCACAGACTACCAGTCTGCTAGTCCCAAACTGTACTAGCCTGAGCCTTCTGCAACTTCTATAGGTGGACAGTGAATTCTGTGTTTGGTTTAAGGTGATGAAGGTCTCAGGGGCATCTCCTGTGTGAACTTTAAAAGGTTTCAAGATACGGTGATATTTTATTTGTACTGAAATGTGATTTTATTTGTATGTTAATAAATAAAGTTGCCTGGGGGTCAGAGCTAATAGCAAGCCATAGCAGAAGCCGGGTGGTGGTGGCGCACACCTTTAATCCAGATCACATGACAGGCAGATCTCTGTGTGATCAAGGATACAGCCAGCATGGAGACACATGCCTTTAATCTCAATACCAACCATAGATGACCTGGAGGTCTGTACAGACAGGCAGTGACGAGGAGGTCATGTGGTTGGGTTTACAACCAATGAGAAGGCAGAACAGAAAGTCAATAAAAAGACAGACACACAGGAAGTAGATCTCTTGCTGAGGGGAAGGATGGCAGTGGCAGGAAGGGTAAGAAAGGGTTTTAAGTCTCAGCTCTTAGCTACTGCTCTGACCTCTTGGACTTTTAACTCTGCATTTGCCTCTGTGTTTCTTATTTAATAAGATGGTTACATCTACATCAAGACAATGTCTACAAAGCAAATTCTGTTTTCCTTAACCAAAATGGTTTTCAGGTGCTGACCCTCATGGAATGTTACTTGTGCTTTTCAGTGCTGCTCAGTTTTAACTATCAATTTTCTTTCTTTGGTCAAATTTATTTTGCTTTGGTCAAATTTATTTTATTAGACACATGATGTCTAAGCCTGCATTTGCCCACCTACAAATCAGAGATAATAAAATCTACCTTAAACCGCATTCTGAGAACTAGAAGAGATAATGTATGCCATTTGCCAAATCAGGCATATGTTCACTCAGCACATTGCTGTTGCTTATTGCTGTTTCATATACACAGTGTTTTGGAAAATAGCACCACTAGCCAATAGCCTGGATGAGATCTGGTCTTAAGATAGTATGTACAAGTTATTTATATTGGCCATGAAAGCATCTTAACACTGTCATGCCTGGCTTTAATACATGCAATCTGGAACCTCCATTATTATTAAAATAGGGCTTTCTGGAAAATTCCAGTCTCTTCACATTGGTTAGCTCTAATTCACCCATGCAGTGTATATATTGTAAGTTCATTTGTGAGGTAGTGGTTGCAGGTTTTTTCTTCCCACTGTTTCTTTGCATTTATTACCTGGTTCTGATAATTTAGGTGGTATCATCTAGCAGGCTCAGGGCACATGCTGCTGAGAACCAAGAGCTCCCATACTAGTTTTGAGCTTCATATTAGGATTTTTAAAGTCCACAATAGAAATATCTATAAATCATAGCTGTAGAAGATTGTAGCTTTGGTGAGAGAGAAAATCTTCTGAGTCACTCAAAGCAAGGAGAACTACAGAACCGTCAGTTTAGAGCAGAAATCAGAGGAGAAGAGTACGTGGACAGAATAACAATTTACAGTCAGTTAAAAGTTGGCAAGCACATCCAACAACAGAATTGAATAGATGAGGAAAGGCCTTGTGATTGGACATATATGTAGTGCTTTGGAAAATCACACAACTAGTCAAGTGACTAAAAGAGCCATGGTCAAAAACAGAACATTTACCTTGACCATGACTACAGTAAGCAACTGCAGGTACAGCACAGCCAGAAGATGGTGTTTGAGACCAGTTGGAGTAGATGACATTTCTGCAGAGGCCAAAGAGGTCAGACAATGGCACTGACCTAGGAGCCCCACCCCTGCTGACAAAACAACGTAGGTCCTCCCCAGGAACTTGGAGCACTTCTAAAGAGAAGAAAATAACTATGGGTTTACCCAAAAGAGTTTGAAACCGAAGTCTTCGTGAGAAAGACATTGTCACAGATTGGCTAGGACTTGAATATGTTCCCCAAGAGCTCATGTGTTGAGCATGGTCCTCACTGCGGTGATGTTGAGGTGGTGCAGGCTTTAAGAGATGAGGCCTAGTGGTAGGCCCTTGCCTCTTCAGTGATATGCCCTCAGAAGAGATCAATACAGTTCTCCTAGGACTCTAATCCTCAGCAGCTCCTTGACTTGATATTTGACAATGTAATCTGTCATTCTGTTTGTGTCCCCACCATGATGCAACCCACCATGAGGAGATACTGTAAGGAATCCACAGCCAGGGCAGAAGCTGTGCTGTTTGGACTTTCAGCTACCAATATTGTGAATAGTGAATGAATTTCCTTTCTTTAGAAGTACCCAGATCAGGCATTTTGTTATAGTAACAGAGAATAGCCTAATACAGAACAGTAGTTCTATATGTGTTATGTAGAAATAAAAATAACACAATTCTCTAACTTTACACTTTATTAATGTGTTGAAATATCAGTTTTCTTATATTTCAAATTTTAGGGATATTTGAGTTTGGTTGGTGTTCTAGCTCGCTTCCTATTCCTGTAATAAACAGCATAACCAAACGCAACTTGGGAAAAAGGGTTGATTTCATCTTACATCATGCAGGGAAGCTAGGGCAGAAACTCAAGGTGGAGACCTGAAGACAGGAAGTGAAGCAAAAGCCATGGAGGAACACTGCTTACTGGCTTGCTCTCCATGGCTTGCTTAGCCTGCCTTCTTATACCTCTCAGGACTAGCTACCCAGGGGTGGAACTGCCCACCGTGGGCTCAACTCTCCTACATCAATTATTAATCAAGAGAATGATGCACAGGTTTGCCTACAGGGCAATCTGAGGGAGGCATTTTCTCAACTGAATTTTCCTCTTCCCAGATGATCTTAGCTTGTGTCCAGTTGACAAAATAAAACAGAACAAAAAAATTCATCCAGCAGAGTTAGTTCTTTAGTTAGTTTGTTTGTTCATTTGAAATCGGGTCCCACAGTGAAGCTCAGAATGGCCTGAAAACTCCTCCTGTACCTCCACTGCCTCAAGCCTCTCTTAGCGCTGGGACCACAGGCCTGAGCTACCATATCCAGTTACTATTTCTTCTTGATTACTGTGAAAGTTTTCATTATCTGAAATCACTTTAATGATTAAAAAGAACAATATATCTTTCACATAACTCTCATAAAATTGAAACTAAGTGCATGCATCATTATAAAAAGTATGCTGATCATTGTTTTCTCAAATATGACTCCTCATCTCAAGTAGCTTTATTTACTTCGTATCTTCATTTAAAAAGGAAGCTTCAAATGTATAACTGGAGGACTCTAGTTTGACTAGACTTCAGTTCAGGTCTTGAATTATAATCATTATGGTTGTCTCAAGAAGCCCTGGGTGGACTCCTTACTCCTCTGCATAGTTTCCAAGCATATATAAATAAACAAAAACCTAAGGGTGCTATGTGCAGCTATAAGACTAGATATGGTACCTTCAGCAGCAGGAATATGCTGATGTTGACGCCAGCTTGAGATAAAACCAGGTGCACTGTGGCTTGGAAGCAAGCCACTCTGTTACATGCTCTCCCTGACCCAAGTCATGGGGATTCACTGGGCGAGTAGCCACTTTTGACTATGCTTCTGGTCTAATTCCTTGTGATGGTTAGGGTTAACTGCCTGCTTAACAAGTTAGAATCATCTGAAAGATGGACCTCTGAGCATGGCTGGGTGATTATCTTGACTAAAGGTGGGAAGACCTTCCTACGGTGGGCATTCCTCATTCCCTGGGCTGGGCATCCTGTAAACAGAACACTCCAATGCATGTATTCATTGTTCTTCTGATTGTGGAAGTAATGCAGTCAGCTGCACTAAGCTCCTGATACCCTGACCTCATTGCCAAGATGAACTTTAACCTGGAACTATCAAATAAAATTAGCCTTTTCTCCTGTAAGTTACTTCTGTCAGGTTATTTTATCAGGACAATAGGAAAAGAACCTCCAATAATCCTCAATAAAGCATACTCTGCAGCCTTGGACTGTCTTGACTCGGGGTTCCTTAGCAGCACCTTCTGCCTGTATCTGTCCTTTCACAATAACTCAAGCTGTTAGTGATCACAATTATAAACTTAAAGGGAGATAGGAAACCAGAGCTTTGAACGTGCATATTGTGCTAACATATCTAGACATGCAGCATCTAGTTCAACCTTGTCTCAAGCTGAGCACAGTCTGTAAGTTTAACCCTTTCTATCTGTAGTAGCACTTCTGAGTCTTGGAGCAAAGCTGATTATGTTACAGGCCCAGCCATGTGAAGTGTTAACTGTAGTAAACCATTCTGAACTGTGCTAAGACTCTTAACACCAGGCATAATGAGATTACTAATATAGGTTTTCTATTAGCTACACATTTACTGAACATTAGGCACATAGAAAGGTGAGAAATGAATTCAAAATATCTTTTCAATGTTGCTTCTTTGAAATTATTTAATCCCACAAGTGAATATTTTAAAACTGTGTCTTTAGTAATTAATATTTATTTTTGCTTCTCTGTAGTTGTGATCAATAGAGCATTAAAGAGAGCAATTTTATCTTCAGAGGTGTTTTTACATTCAATTTATTGCCATTGACAAAAAAATTTGCCTTTCAATGTGGAAAAATATCTCTTTGAAGAGTTTTATTGTATGTCTGCTTTATATGATGCTATAATTTTATTTTAGTCACAATATAGGAATAAAGAATTTATAGACTGAAGAGTAAACACAAATTTTATGTATTGTAACACTCTAAAATATATTATTTAAAAACAAAGGGAAATGATTGCTACCTCCTGGAGAAAAGAGGAAACAATAAAATAGTTGATGCATTAAACATATAATGATATTATCATGAATATTAATATTCATGGGTTATTGCAAAGACAGTTGTAAAAAAATCTAATAAAAAGTTTGAAACAGACAACTATTCTTTAAATACTTCAGCAATTGAAGTCCTTGGAAACCCAACTGTTTCTTCTAAATTTTTACTTTCAACATTACTATATGGAGGCATCAGGAGGGTAAGGAACATCTGACTGCACACACTCTTCTGCTCGCTTCCTGTAAGCACTGCTACTGTCTACCGTGCACCATAGATAGGAGGCACTTTAACCATTAGATACTTGACTGAAACAAAGAGAAGGAAGAGGAGGAGGAAAAAGAAAATATCGGTCATTGAGACAGGCCTCTGCCACCGGGTGCTGGCTCTCAGGAGCCCAAAGGGTCTTTACAATATTCTTTCCCACGATGCTATTGGTCTGTTCTGTATTTCCTGGGCTTCTTTCACTCCGAGGCGCTTTTTTAACTCAGCTGCAGTTTTTTCCAGTTGTTGGATGTTCCATTGCCATTTTCTCCTGTTTAACTGAATCTTGTTCACCTGGCAATGCAAACGCTTAAGAATTGCATCATTTCTCTTATGTTGTACCTGTTAGGAAAACAGTACACAACAACAGTGCTCATGAGCATGCGCAGTCAACAGTTAATAACAGATGCTCTGACTCCTCTAGAGAGAAGCACTCAATTAGAAATCATTCATTGGAATAATCAATACAAACAAGAATTATGTAAGTATTCAAAATATTATTAGTGCTGAAAGTTTCCTACATGAAATGACCATAATACCTTATGCTGTAGGTATTATTAGTGTGTGTGTGTGTGTGTGTGTGTGTGTGTGTGTGTGTGTGTGTGTGTGTGTGAAGAAACTGAAAATCAGAGTAATTTGAACACGATTTCAAAGCTCACCAATTGTGGTGTTTAGGATTTGAACCCAAATGAAACATCCAGGATGGAATACCCTGTTTGTCAAGCCAGTCACCCAGTGTTAAGTGAATGTGGCCTGCGGGTGCCTCTTTATTGAGTCCTATCTGATGAGCTGCAATCTTAGCATCTAAACTGAGAACTTAAAAGTATGTGTTTGTAGCACAGCTGATTCTCAGCAAATCCCAGTAGCCCTGTTTCAGTAACTCACGGTTGCCAGCTGGTAAGGCTCAGTACCATTTACTGCCCAGAAATGCTGCCTGCCCACACCACTGACAGCCTTCTGAAGCTCCTCAGGCTCTGAGGACTTACCAATTCATGGATCGTTCATTGTTCTATTACACTCAGTTGAATTTAACTGTTCTGATGTCTTGCTTTACCACTAGTTAAGAGAAACGGTTCTGTTCTCTACAGTTAGTGGCTCACAGAAACATATATCTATATCTATCTATGTCTAAAAGATCTAAGTCGGTGGTTCTCAACCTTCCTAACTCCTTTAATACAGCTCTTCATGTTGTGGTGACCCCAACCATAAAAATACTTTCCTTGCTACTTCATAGCTGTGATATTGCTACTGTTACGAATTACAATGTAAATATCTGTGTTTTATGGTGGTCCTAGGAAACCCCTGTGAAAGGGCCATCGAGTGTTGTGACCCACAAGCTGAGAACCACTGATGTAAGAGCTGATGTGGTCTATTTCCTTGCCCTTAGGTAGCTGAGTAAATTTATTCTGAGCTAGACAATGACACACTGCAAGGTAGTGAAGCAGTGGAAATGACAAGTGATGTGGCGTCTGGCCACAAAAACGGTAAACAAAGTTTTATCCATTTACCTGAAAATTTCATGATTTCATTTTTAAACAGCTAAATGGAGTTCAGTATACATGCTACATTTTCATTACCCATTCATGAGTAGATTATTTAGTTTGTTTCTGTTTCCTGGGTATTTATTGTGAATAGAGCCGCAGTGAACATGGCTGAGAAGGTACCTGTGAAGTCGGATGTTGAGTCCTTTGGGCACACGCCAAGAGTTATAGCTAGATAATGTGTACATCCACCTTTAACTTCTTGAGACTTTACCACACTGATTTCCATAGTGGACTCTCACCAATAGTGAATGAGGTTTCCCTTTTCCCACATCCTCACCAGCACTGTTATTAGCTGTTTACTTGATTTCAGTCATGCTGAGCAGGGTAAGATGAAATCTCAAAGTACTTTTAATTTGCATTTCCTTAATTGCTAAAAATACTGAACACTTTTAAAGATGCTTCTTAGCAAATTTTCTCTCTTCTTTTGAGAACTCTGTGTTCAGATCCATAGCCTATTTTTAATTGGGTAATTTGTTTTTTTGACTGCTTTTTTAGTTCTTTGTGTATTCTGGTTAGCAATCATTTATTAGATGTATAGTTGGCAAGGATTCTCTCCTACTTTGTGTGGAGAATTTGAAGGTAAGACCAGATTTTTGAAGACACCACACACTTCAAACACAGGGCTTGGAGGAACCAAACTGAAACTGACCTGGAATCCTTCTCCCTGAGGTCTAGCTCTCTTAGCATCCAAAAATGCCAAGGGTGTAAAGAAACTAAAAACTTTAGCTGGCTGTAAAGCCCATGAACCACAACAACGGCCAGCACGACAAGACGTACCCCATGGTGCACAAGCAGGGGTATATCTATATCTCAGGGTGATGAACAGCCGTCTGAGTGGACTCACTGCCCACTCAGTGCTTGGAGGGAATTCACGCCTGTCACTGTACACCAGGTAGTCAACTACGAGGAGCTGGAGAGGTCATGGACCCCAGAGGAAAGCTTACTGCTGCTACTTTCCTAAATCCGAATAATTCCCAACTGCATTCCGAATACAGATCCTTATCCACAGATAAGTATAGCCCTTACCCCTCAAAGATGCTTCATTTAGTAGCAAAATGAACATTTCAGAAATACGCAATTGGTCACAGTGTAGAGAAGAACTGACTGTGAAGGACCTGTCTCCAGCAGATACACAGAAATACAACTACACCAAGGCTCAGAGAGCATGGCCAAAGATGGGGGCCAAAGACTGTAAGAGCCAGAGTGATGGGGGAAGTCTTTCTGTATGCTGTGAATATGTGTTGCTCTGATTGGTTGATAAATAAAGCCGTTTGGCCTATGGCAAGGCAACTTAGAGGCAGGCAGGAAATACAAAGGGAGAGACAGGAAGAAAGGGAGAGAGACACCAGCCAGCCGCCCAAGGAGCAACATGTAATGGGACACAGGTAAGCCAGGGAACATATGGAGATACATAGATTAATAGTTATGGGCTAATTTAAGATATAAGAGCTAGCTAGCAAAAGGCTTGAGCCATGGCCATGCAGTTATAATGAACATAAGCCTCTGTGTGTGTTTACTTGGGCAATGAGAGTGGGAGAGATTTGTCCCGACCACCGGCAGGCCGGGATACAGAAAATCTTCCGACTACACCAGAGGACCAGGATATGTGCTACCAGATAGTGTCCTCTATACACGACAGAGTCACACCATGAATTCTTCACAATATAGTCCCCTAAACAAGACCTACACAGTGACAATACCAGCTGACATTTCAGTATTGATGGGAGGCATCTCATAAGGCCTAATGAAGGCCTTATGTTCATATAGCTCCTAAATGAAGAGCTATAGAGAATTAATGGCTACTAAGAGAGGGAGAATCAGCCTTCTCCAGGAATAAGCCCCCCTAATAGATATTGATATCTATTGATAGATATTGATATCCAATCCCAAGCAGGCATCCCTAAACACATAATAATAATTAAAGAAGAGGTGGTCATGAAGTTGAGAGGGATTGAGGAGGTCATGAGAGGGGTTGTAGTAGAGAGAGTATGGGGTGGAAAGGATGTAATTACAATACTCGTGTATGAGGATTCTGAAAAATAATAATAGCATAAAATACTCAAACAATAGTAAGTGAAAAAACAAACAAAATATTCCTATATTAGTTCTGACTATACAAAACGTTCCTATCATGTTTGTTAAAATCAGAGGAAACTCTGAGTGAGTGAATGTATATTGCTGAGATGGGCATAGCCATGTCAAGGACTCCAAGGTCTCTGAGCCATGAGAAACTGGTTAAGTCATTTCTCCATGCAACCGGGCTGAAGAGGAGTACCAAAGAGTGTCTGACTGTTTATAAACAACTGACTAGTGTGTTCAAAGACTAGCAACTGCTGCTTCCTCCTCCAGTATGTCTACAGCCTACAACTGCTCACCTGCAGTCCTCCTACCAAGGCTAGCTAACCTGTCTCCCCATGCCTAATAAACATATTGAGGTTCTGAATTAGGGTGATGTAGTAGAATATTTTAAGGTGTGTTACTTTTGCCTATGTTGCATTTGTTAAACTCTGTGAAGCTTTGCTACTGTGCTTGTCTAAAACACCTGATGGTCTAATGAAGAACTGGCCAATAGCAGAGCAGGAGAAAGGATGGGTGGGGCTGGCAGGCAGAGAGAATATGTATAGAGAGAAACCTGGAATGAGAGATCTAGAAGTAGCCAGAGAAGGGGGAGAGCTCCAGGGGCCAGCCACCCAGCTACACAACAAGCAACAGAGTAAGATTTACAGAAGTAAGAGAATGGGAAAAGCCCAGAGGCAAAAGGTAGATGGGATAAGTTAAGTTAAGGAAGCTGGCAAGAAACTAAGCCAAGCTAAGGCTGGGCATTCGTAAGTAAGAATAAGCCTCCGTGTGCGATTTACTTAGGAGCTGGGTGGTGCACCCCCCAAAAAACAGAGCCAAACCCCCAACAACAAAATGGTGATAGTAGGTACCTTCCACTGGAAGTAGCAGATCCCCCAACTTGATCCCAGCTTTGTACATGTGTGGATGCCCCTAGTCAGAGTTCCAGGACGCAAGCAACACAGGTCAACACCCAAGCAATATAGGTCATGGTAGTTAAACAATTCACGTAATCCATTATTTAAATTGGACAAATTATTTTTAGCATGTTCACAGAACTATATAAACATAACCATAATCTGTTTTAAAACATTTTCATTTACTTTCTAAAACACAAGTAACCATTAGCACTCAATTCCATTCCTCTACCCCACTCTTTGCATGAGGCAACCACTAATCTAATTTTCCTTTTATACATTTGCCTGTTCTGGGCATTTCATATAAATAGAATCATACAATAGGTTTTCTCTGTAACTGGCTTAGGATCAGCTATGAAGTAGACTGTATCAGTATTCCATCTTTTTTACTGTCAAATAATATCCCATCATATGATATATCACACTTGACTCATCTAGTCCACCTGCTGATGAATGTTTGAGTTGTTTCCCATTTCTAGCTGTTACAATCATACTATTATGAATATTCATGTATAGGTCTTTGTGTGACGTATTTTGTGTGCACCTTGCCTATAAACCTAGGAAAAGAGTTATTAGGTCATGTGGTAACTTCATGTTTAACCCTCTGAAGAACTATTTTCCAGAATGACAGTACCATTTTTCATTCCCCATTGTAATATGTGACGGTTCCAATTTCCTTACACCCTCAAAATATTTATTACTATTTGTTATGATTAACAGCCATCCTTATGTATCTAAAATGATATCTCATAGTTAAACATTTATTTTTACATTTACTTAGTGGTGTGTGTATGTGTGTGTGTGCGTGTGCATGTGTGTGTGT